AAACTAGAGACATTTATAGCTAAGTGGATGCACATTGAGGCCATACTCTTAAGTGAAATAAATAGGACACTCATGTGTAAATACAGAATAGTTTCTCTGTTGTGAAAAACTAAACGTGTAAATAAGGATCAAAATGTATAATTTATATTGTCAAATAGGAAGAAAAAGTCTAAAGGAATAGGGGAAATGTAAAGGGTAGGGGCAAGGAAAGAAGGGAAAAGAAAAAATATGAGAAAAAGAAAGAAATGGAAAAAAAATATTTGCAAATAGGGAAGGTAGAGGTGGTGAAGGGAGGGTAGGGGAATGGGGAAAGAATAAGAACCAAGATACATCATGTAAAGGTACAAGATCTTGATAATGAATATAACTATATTGTATACCTGAAATGTACCAATAAACTTAATGAAAACAAAAAAGAGGTATGATCCCGTGGTCATGAACTGAGTAGAATTTCAGCAAGGCTTTTTGATTTTTCAGATTCTTCTCTGTATCTCTCTGTCTTTAGAGATAAGAACATTTCCTTTCCTATGGGTGTAGGGTGGGTAGCTGTCACATGCAGATCTTCAGGGAGGAGGAAGGTGAGAGTGATCTTCATGGGTTTTATGGCACATGCCAGGGAAGAAGGAACAAAGGGAGGGAGAGTATCTAAGGCCCTCTTCCAAAGAATGGGGGCAGGAAGAGGAAAAGAGACCTTCCTGTTTCTTTGGTTTCTTAGATAGCTTCAGCTGAAAATAAAACACTCAAATATGCCAATTGGCCACATTTTGGGATATCATTTTCTAAGTCCTGACACTGCACTTTGTGAATATACTAAAAACCACTGAATTGTACACTTTAAGAGGATGAATTCAATGGTACCAAAAATTTTTTTATTTTATTGTAAAAAATGGATAAAAATATAATTTTGAGAAAATGGAAAAACTATACCTTTACACAGATATAAAAATGAACAGCTTTAAAGATTTATTTTACTCATATGAAGAATGTAAATAGATGTTACAATTGATTCAAAGTAAAAGTGATAAAAGTACATGGTTATATAGGTAAATTGAGGAAAATCTTTTTTCCACAGAGAGGAGAAAGCCAATGAAAATTATCATACATAACAGTTTCATATCTGTCAATTACCTACGACTTGCAAAATAATTTTATAATTACTCAAAACAGTAAACAGAACTGAATCAGACAGGCTGGGCTGGTGTTCTATGGACAATGCATACATTTCTGTTAAAAATCAAATTCAAACACAATGTTAAAATTCATAGAACTATGTGCCCCCAAGTCAATTTTACGTTATTATATTCTAAAATTTAAAAAGAATAAAATTGCACAGTAATTTTGTCATAATATATAACCAATGTTATGGTTTATATCTAAAATGTCCTCCAAATTTTCCTGTGTATGGAAGGTGATTGGATCATGGAGCTACTATACCATCAGTGGATTCAGCTACTGATGAATTCAGTAGTTGAATGTCCTGTTAGGAGGTGGAACTTGATTTGGGATGGGTCACTGGTGGTATGACCTGGAATGGTGTATTCTCCTTGTTGGCTCCTTCCTTCTCTCACTGCTTCCTGGCTGCCATGGGATGAGCATCTGTCCTCCACCCAGGTCCTTCCACCATGCCATTTCAGCCTTGGAAACAGCCAACCATGTACTGAAACCATGAGCCAAAATAAAGCTCCTCTCCTTTAAGTCATGGGTGTTGGGTATTTTGTCCCACTGATGGGAAAGTAATGAGGACAACCAAGAATGGAAATGGAGATGCTGAATGAGTGGCTACTGCCTTTGTCCACACTAAACAAAGTGGAAGGTCACACTAGGGTGATGCTAGTGGGCAATTAGAAAAATCAACTCACTTGAGATTTGGAAGGCTAAATCAAACACTGAAAGCAACTTTTGAGGCAGTCAGGGATGCTCCAAAGGGGCAATTTATGAGTTGGGAGGAGCTGCAGCCAATGACATTGGGATAGCTGTATGCTGGGCAAAGAGGAGGGTAGGGCCTGATATCATCTCAAAGAACCCACCACTATTAACCCACAATCCAGTTCACAGGTCACCATGTGGGGAACAACTATATTCTCCACCTCCATTCTCCAGTTCTGTAACTGGTGGCAAACCTATAGCACATGTGCTGTATCTGGCTATTTGTTATTACTGAAAGCTCTAAAAGGCTCACCATCACCACCTTACAGTATTTCCTCAAATTAGGTACATTAATTCCACAAAAAAGTGATGATAAAAGCT